GTAATATCGTAACTATCTGAAATAAAGCTCATGCCAATGGCCTAAGTGGTCACCTTTAATATTAAAAAAAAAAATAATAATAATAATAATATTATATTACTACATATTACTACATATAGTAAATAATACTACATTACTACATTATTACTACAATTAAAGTTTAAAAAATATTGTGTAAAAATATATGTAGTAAATATAATTATAGTAATTAGCTATTTACAGTGCCAATTATTAGTTATATAAATAACTATTATTTTTCATAAAAAATAAAACATTTTTCAATATTTAGTAATATAAGTTTTTTTAACCAAAAAAGTATAAATAGAGCTATTTTGACTTGTACTAGAACATTGTTGAAACATTTTTTTTTATTTTCAACATATCTAAAATTAATTTCCAAATAGCATTTCACTATTTTAACTTTATATTATATGAATGCTTAGACACTTTCCTTGCATATATTTCTAAACTTTTTAAAACAAAATTATACAAATTTAAAGAATTATTTTTTAAGTTTGAACCTAATAACAATTCATCTCTATCTGGCTGATATCATGCACAAGGATAGGCCGAATTTCATAATAACTCAAAGCAACATGTTGGTCATTGAAATCGTGACAAGCAAACTGGAATAAAAAAAATTTTTCAGGCAAATGTTCATATTCACTATGCTAATTCTACAAAAGAACAATGTTATATATATATAGATAAAGATTTTGAGTAATACAAAAATCCATACTGTCAACCATGTTTATGTGACTATAAAAATCAATCACATAGATGTGCAAATTGCACTCCAAATTGTAGTTGTCCATCTGCAAGAATATCAAAGTTTTTTGAAATATACTATTTTATCTATGATGAAACAAAAATTAATACCCAAGCTGCAAATGATCTTATAGAAGATTTAATTGAAAATAATTTATTTGGAAATGAGGCAATTGTTAAACATGCTCAGAACTTTTCACAAGCATGGACAAACAATCCAAAAAATATATATGTTGTTCGTAATACAGTTAAAAATATTAAAAAGAAAAAAACCTAGTCAGAAAGATTTTGGCATTCAGTAACATTTTATTTTTATAGCAAGGATGGTGCAGACAAATCAAATCTGGTTCAAAAGCTATTTTGGTCAGAGTTGTATCCTAAATCTAAAAAGCAAAAAAATAGATCTTCTTGGTGGGATGGTTATCAGAGTTATTCTATAGTTTTTCTTGATAAATAGTATATATATGTTGATTGAAATTCTATTGTAAAATATTTGAATAATACTTCAGAAACTGGTGAAATTAAAGGGAAGTCATTTGTTCTATTTTTAGCTAAATATATTTTCATGACTTCTTGTAAACCTGCAGAAAAAGCTTTTAATTTTGGTCAAAGAAATATAGATGATAAAACATCTACACAATGTGACTGGAAGCAATTTAAAAGATAACTTGATTTTATAATTGAATTTAAAAATGAATAAATGATAATATTGAAAAACATACAACACAACTCATCTTTTATAAAGGTTCAGAATCTGATTTTTGTGGTATACTTTGGGATCTCAAATATGACAAATGTAAGTATACTACTAAAAAACTTAAAAAAATTGTTCAAGAACTTAACAAAAATGAACTAGAAGAAGTTATAATCAAAGATAATCAAGTTTATTGGTGTCAAATTTTTCCTGAATATAAAAAATATTATTTACAAGATTATTCATATTGCAAAGAATTATCTGATTATAAACAACAAGTACATATAAAAGTTGAATCAGATGATGAAATAGAACTTGATTATGATTCAGGTTCATTACAATTAAAAGATCAATATTTTGAAATTGATAATGATATAGAAATTGAATTATCTAAACCTGATTCTGATAACAGTGAATATACTTTTTAACAAAAAAAAAAGAAAATTTACTTCAGCTCAAAAAAATAATCAAGTAATTAAAAAAAACAAAATTTAATATTAGTCTTTATTAATTAGATAATCAAAATTATTTTAGTTCAAATAAATATTATATTTTTATATATTCTTATATTTTTTTTTTATTATTATTATTTTAAATTGTATTTATTTTTTTTATATAAATAAAATTATTAAACATTATTTATAACTTTATAAATGGCATCTGATTTACAAATCAATCTTAATAACCTTTAACAACAAAATCTTAACTTGCTTTATAAGAATACAAATCTTTTGCAATGAAATATAGCTCTAACATCTGATAGAGATGAATTAATCAAGCAAAACAATGAATTGTTAAATCAACAAAATGATTTGCAAAACAATATTAATGAATTAACCAATCAAAACCAAGAATTAACACGATTGAATGACACATTAAAACTTGTTACAGCAAAATCATTAGACAAAGCCGCATTGTATCAAGCTGAAAATTTAGCATTATTTGAAAAAAAAGTTGATGACATTATCTTCTTTGGTTTTTTAAATAATTTAGAAATCAATAATATTTTTCTCCAGAATTTAATTAATTTTATCAAAATATACCACAACTCAATCAAAGAGAACCATTTTTTCAAGAAAATTTATATTTTGGTTATCTTTTGTGTATCAATTATTTTTAATTTATAATGAGTTATAATTGTCTATGCATAATTGAATATATTCTTGCCAACATGTTTATATTTGGCTGGCTTTATATTATGTATGTCTATTGTAAACAAAATTATTCAAACAACTATATTTTTTTAGAAGTTTAAAATAAAATTATAGTTTAAAAAAATAAAAATAAAATTTTAATAACTAAAAATTACTTTTAATTTTAATATTAAATCATTTAGCAATTTTACATATTATATTTATTAAATTACATTATATTATTATTGTAAAATAAAATAAAGATCGGCATATGATGCTTCTTGGCAGCTGGGAGGTGAGGGCCCAGCCATAAAAGTAGCATTGGTAATGCTGATCTTGCTTATATCATATACCATGCATAAGCAATTGCGAGAACAGCAAAAAAAAACAAACCAAAAATATTAAAAAACTATTTTTTTATAGTATAACAAAATAAATAGTTTAATATATATATTTTTTATTTTAATTTAAGTTTGTTAATTTCTGAGATGAAATGAAAACTATTAGTGTTAAAAATATATGATTTGTTGAATCATGTGTTTTTAAAACAATAGGTATTCATTTTATTGTAAGAAATCATTTTATATGCAAAAATTTTTGAAAGGTGGAGAGTGTTTGAGTGAGCAAACAATATTTTTTCCCAGTAGCCGCTAGGAGAAAAATAATTGATGTTGAGCAATGGTAGCGGCCACTAGCCAATGATTGATGGAAATTTAAAATATATTAAATATTTTTCAAAATACCAAAATTGTAAAGCTAAAAATAGATTTTATTTAAATAAACAATATAAAAATAAATATATACAACTAAAAAATAGAATATACAAAAATAGTACAATATAAAACTACTTCAACAACAATAAATTTTCATCATTTTTAAATTACTTTTGATATGCACAATATGTAGTAATTTTTTTAAAGTTTTGTTAATGGCTTGGCTTTAAATTTTATTGGTTCTATTAATCATTTCCTAATTAGAAAATATACAGTTTATTTTAATTTTACAATACTTATATAAAAAAATAAAGTTTTTTATATGTATTAAATTAAAAGTATTGTAAAATTTATAAAGTTATATATATTATTAATTTAAACTATTATAAAAATTATGTTATTAGCAAGGTCTCACCTTTAACATTAAAAAAAAAAAATTATGTTATTATGGTTTAGGCCACAGATAAGTATTCGGGTTTATACAACCTTATTTATACTATCTCCTCACACCCAGCCTTCCATCCCCAACCTTCTCAACTCTATCCATTCTCCCTTCA